GTCACCAAGGAGAGGTCCCGGGGCAGGATGTCGCAGCAGAAGGAAAGGAAGGCCACACAGATGCTCGCCATTGTGCTCGGTGAGCCGCCCCATCGCACATACAAATCAGATCGTAATTGGAGTGGAGAGAGAAACAAAACTGAATCCGATGGCAACAGCTGAAAACAAACCGTTCTTCAATCTTATCCCACCCCATGTATGAAGATAAATCTTGTAATATCGGCTGATTAAATAGGCCGGCCAATTAATCGGTTGGGCAACCAATTGAGATGTTTGTCCCCCGCGCCCCCTCCCCCGCAGGCGTGTTCATAATCTGCTGGCTGCCCTTCTTCTTGACACACGTCCTGAAGGCTCACTGCGCCAGTTGCTGCATTTCGCCGTCGCTGTACAGCGCCGTCACCTGGCTGGGCTACCTCAACAGCGCCGTCAACCCCGTCATTTACACCACCTTCAATGTGGAGTTCCGCAAGGCCTTCATCAAGATCCTCCTCTGTTGACCGCGTTCGGACGTCGAGGTGATCGTTGCGGGGGCGATAGCGTCACATGCCAACAAGCAGGCTAAGGATCGATTTGAGTCTCGCTTTTTGCATTTGGAAGATTTTCAAACGTTCACTTAGGTACCATACGCACAGCGTTCATGTTCAAATTGCGCATCACGTTACAGTGGCTTCAGATCACTTTTTTTTTTAAGCAACACAGGCAAGAGCATAAAAACAAACAGAGAAACCTGCATCCAAATGTCTCTCGCTATGCATTCGAATACAGAAACAAAAACAAAATGACCAAAAGGATGAACAACTGCAAACCTGCATTTCGAGCAATGGACCCCCGTGCGGAATGTAAGAATTCCTAAACGAGGCGGCCTGGTCGGGGAAAAAACTATCCCTGGTGGAATTCCCTGTCCCTGCTTCTCGCCAAGTGTTTGGAGGTGATGTTGTCTCCAAATAAAATTCCAAGACACTGACCTTGTCTTTGCCTATTGAATACCACAAATAGGAATCATGTCATCGCATCGTTATTCGGTGTTATCAAAGCACATAATGGCCGTGCGTGTGGAGATGAGTGTGCGCTTGTGGGTTTTGTAGGCGCTAGCGTGACCAGTTCCGAAACTGGATACATCCCAGACAAGCAAAGTGGGTGCTAGATGCTACCCTGCGTTTCGAATGACCCCAGAGAGAATTCTCTTTCCCCATTTGTTCTTAATTTTGGTATTCGACTGCTTTCTCAAGGCCAAAATGAAGTCGTCTACGTTTTTCCTCCGTGCTGTGGATAAAGTGAGAGCAAATTTACCCACGTCTTCCCTTGGGGGTGCAGCGGTGAAATTAGGAAAACATATGCTAGAAATAGTAAAACAAGCGAGGGGCAGCGAGGGGGTCGTCGTGTACGGAGTGATTGTATGCATTGTTCAAGAGCCTTGTCGGGTCATATGGCAACTCGCAAATCGAAGGTGGAATTTCATTAGGTCTCCATTTTAGCCTTGAATTGGAAAGCGTAGAGAAAGAAATTATGTCCTCTGGGATAAAAAATAATTTTGGGGTGACAATTTTAATATGATAATGTGATAGGGTCTTCTATAGAAGTGAATATGAAGTGGAGAAAGGAAGTCCACAATAGATGAGCTAAATGAAACTAAAATATTAAAATGAAATGAATATTTTTTATGAAGTCACACAAATATATGCAATAAGATAATCGTAAAAATGAAAAATAAATACTTTTCACTTCACTCTAATTATTTGTCTAATGCTAGCGTCACTTGTTTTTAAGAAATCAAGCGTGTGTGTGTGTGTGTGTGTGTGCATTTAAATAGTTTGGGCTTTCTATTTCGGTACATGAGCAGGTCAGAAAAAGAAAAAAAGCTTTCAGGCTGATGCAGGGGGGAAAATGTCTTGAATCATATTATCATTTCATACACATAATCATAATGAATAAACCATTAGTGTCATAAGTGGAGCTATGCAAATAGACTTCAACGTTAGCGCAAATCTCGTTCCCCTCACGAGACGCCAAAAGGTCTCCTCGGAATTTGACATCTCCAGGCATAATCCCTTCATCATGTGCCCGCCCACTTTCCCCCCAGCTGTCACTCGAGTGTCTGCCGCATCGTGATGAACAGGGAAAGGACTTGAAGCTTACTTTCTGTAATTTGCTTTGCTGCTCGAGACAGTTTTACTTCGCAACATGACATTTTGTCAGGTGTGTCTATCGCAGGTACAGCCACAAAAAAGGTCTCAAGAGCCCCCAACTCCCCCCAAAAAGGGGAAATCTGCCATTTTGTTTTGAAGCAGACATTTTAGCGTCGTTTCCAAGATGTCAGGAGACTTTTTTATTCAGAAAGGTCTCAAGAGCCCCCCAACACCCCCCAAAAAGGGGAAATCTGCCTTTTTGTTTTGAAGCAGACATTTTAGCATCGTTTCCAAGATGTCAGGAGACTTTTTTATTCAGAACCCAGCGAGGATGTGACATTGCTGTTGATGGATAGATCGACACATAGCCTAAAATACATTTTGCTAAGACAAAGAAAGTTAAAAGTACTGTTCTAATTAAAAGTACGCATAAACCAAGAACGCATGGAATACCCGGATATTGTTCTTTTGGGGTAATTTAACTCAAGTCGTGGACTTTAAACCAACCACCGCTGTATACAAAGTGCACATAGAGCAAAGACCATATATATACACACACGCACGTCAGGGCTATAAAAGGTTCGGGGTTTTTTTTTCATAATAATGAGTTCCTATTTTGTTGTGATTTTGTTTTGTTTTTTTAAATCCAGTTTGGGTTTTTTTCATTATTTTTTAAATGGTTTGTTTTAGTCGAGTTTTATTTATTTATTTGTTGCGTGCAAGGCTCGTAATCCACAAGTGAAACTCACTCTTGAAAAAAACGCGAAGTGAAAACATGTAACATGAAATATTTCTAAATAAAAACAATGGTATGATAAACAAGTAGGTATCTGTCCAGTGGTATGATTATTTTATGTTAAATGTTCGGTAAAGCGTTTTAATACAGCTGTAGCTGTTGCGAAAACGCTTTGTCAATAAAGATGTGTTCGATTGAATTGTGTCAGTCTTGAGTGACAGCGTCTCTTTTGGGTAGAACTCCATTTCCCGACAGTGCCCGCGTTGAGACGTGACCCAGTACACACCGCGGCTTTGAGAGGATGAGGCCAAGATGGCGACTAAAGCTACTACAGAGGGCCCTCCTCCTTTTGATTGTCCATCATGGTGAGAAAGTGCACTATCTTATCGTGTAACATTGGGGCGCGGTAAGGTCGCCGATGCACCGAAAACCCGTCAAACGTTTACAAAGTTGGATGAACCTCGTTTAGCGAGTGCCGTTTTGTGCTTTTCGCTGGTGTCGCTAGCCTTAGCATGTCGCCGATGCTTAGCAGCTCGCAATGTTAGCACCGAGGGACTTCACTGAACATGTCGATCGCATCCGAAAATGATCATTCTATCAGTACCGAAGGCAATTTATTTACACAACGATGAAGGGAAATTTCTTTGTTTTGTGAATGTACTTAATGATGTGTCTTTTTATGCACGAGCGTGGTCGAAATCAATGGTAGCGTTTGAAAACTGTCAGTCGTGACTCTCATTCATTGCACTTGGGTCTGTTGAGCGTGTGATTATGCCTAGTTTAACATGCACTTGATTTCAGGGGAGGCAAGCCACCCGTCGGGCTCCACCTCGATGTGATGAAAGGAGACAAACTAATCGAGGTAAGCCGAGTGTGATCTCGACACTGTTTCTCGACGGCAACTTGCCTGGGGCAGTTTGTTTTTTTGCGGCGGCCCGCTTTTGTAAGCTTGAGGTTTGTAATACAGAAAACTAGCACAGACATTTCTATTTATACACGACTTAATACCCTAACAAAAGAGAATTTATGCGATAAATAATGGCTTAATAAAGCGTGATTAATTTATGTTGAGCCAGTAGTCACATGAAAAACTGTGTGCCTTTAAATATGGGTTTGGCCAATGAGTGACATCAGGAACATGGTGGCTTGGTCTCTGGAACAAGGTTTTGGCTTCGCTAAGATGCTTGGCAGTGGTTTAATTTTTTTTTGTTTGACTGTCCTGCCCCATTCGGTGAACGGGTGGTGTCGTTTACAGAAAAGTCCTAATCCCCAATTTGTGGTATCTTGGTGCCAAAGAACTACGTTGAATTGAGTTGAGGAGCTTCATTCAGAAAAGCGTGCAGGCTTTCACAACAGCTGCAGCTGTAGCAAAGTGCTTCGCTGCCATCTTTTGGCATGTAGTGTCAAGGAACTGTGTCGAAGAGAGTTGAGGAGTGTCATGCAGACAAAAGTAGTGCTTGGGTTATCTTTGCTTGGGTGCTAAATTGATGTGATCATTTTGTTCATTTTATTTCATTACATGGAAGAAGCGGACATATTTTTTGCATTAAATTGCGAATTTGAATGAAAAGAAGCAAAGCGAAGGATAAATCGGATAATTTCTGTCTCTTTTCAAAGAAAATATCACATTTAAGGAATTTGATTCTTCCATGATAAATGTTTCCGCTTAAATTTATGTCACGATAGATACCGATACTGTGGAGGAGATTTAATTTATACCTTGGCATGAATTGTAGGCCATATTGCTTAGCCCTCGGTGTCCATTTGAAGCAAAAATATTAAACATGTCATCTTACACTTATGTACAATGAACATTTAAATTACTATCAAACTTTTTTGGTGGGGTCAAGGAGGGAACCATCAAATATGTTTTACATACAAATACAATTATGGATTTACAATGCATGACGGCAAGCAGTAGTTGTTGCTTGATTGAACCTTGACACTCACACAGCCTCTTGAGTGCCCTTACGTCATTAGCATTTAGGAAAAATGGTCTTGTCATAAATACACTTGGCCGCAAAATGGAATGGAGTCTTAAAAAAAAAAATCTTTGATAAGTGTGTATTGTGTTGAATTGACTAGCACCAGATACGAGCCCGTCAGCCCGGTGAGTCCCAGTTGTATTGCACGCTGGCCTCCCGTCCTCCCCGTGGCTGCACGGCTTCCGGAAGGTGCGAGAGCAACACCGAGCCCTGATATTTAAGCTTCTCAGTGGGGAGCGCCACTGTTGAGTTATGGCTCAGAGGCACAGCTGACCGACTGCAAATCGTTGCCTGGCTGACCCGTGCCCCCACTGACAGCGGGCTTTCTTCTCTGGTCTTTTTTTTTGTTTTGTTTTGTTTTTCTCCTTTTCCCAGAAACTGATCATCGACGAAAAGAAATTCTACTTGTTTGGCCGGAATCCGGACTGGTGCGACTTCACCATCGACCATCAGTCGTGCTCGCGGGTCCATGCCGCCCTGGTCTACCACAAACATCTGAAGAGGCTCTTTCTCATCGACCTCAACAGCAGTAAGATGCCATCAAAAGGAATTTTTACAAATGGAGGCCTCAAGTCGAAGTGAATCGACAGAAATTGCTACATTTGTTGGAAAAAAAAAACAAACAAATCCTCTTCTCAATAATATATCAGTAACCTCCACAGTTGGATAACTAAATGTCTGTCGCTACTACATGAGATCATTTATTTCCACACCCCACACAAAAAAAAAATTTGATTAAGTTGTGTTGCACGCTGGCCTCCCGTCCTCCCCGTGGCTGCACGGCTTCCGGAAGGTGCGAGAGCAACACCGAGCCCTGATATTTAAGCTTCTCAGTGGGGAGCGCCACTGTTGAGTTATGGCTCAGAGGCACAGCTGACCGACTGCAAATCGTTGCCTGGCTGACCCGTGCCCCCACTGACAGCGGGCTTTCTTCTCTGGTCTTTTTTTTTTTGTTTTGTTTTCTCCTTTTCCCAGAAACTGATCATCGACGAAAAGAAATTCTACTTGTTTGGCCGGAATCCGGACTGGTGCGACTTCACCATCGACCATCAGTCGTGCTCGCGGGTCCATGCCGCCCTGGTCTACCACAAACATCTGAAGAGGCTCTTTCTCATCGACCTCAACAGCAGTAAGATGCCATCAAAAGGAATTTTTACAAATGGAGGCCTCAAGTCGAAGTGAATCGACAGAAATTGCTACATTTGTTGGAAAAAAAAAACAAACAAATCCTCTTCTCAATAATATATCAGTAACCTCCACAGTTGGATAACTAAATGTCTGTCGCTACTACATGAGATCATTTATTTCCACACCCCACACAAAAAAAAAATTTGATTAAAAAGATAGTCAGGGAGATGCATTGACATGCGACTTTAGCCAGCCTGTGAAATCTCACAGCCACCAGATTGACTCCAATCAAGTTTTGTATTCTCCCACTTCTCCAAGTCTTGCACGCACCCTTTCGATTGTTGATCGATGCTCCTCCCTATCTTCACCGCGTTGCCGCCGTTACCGTTTGCAGCCCACGGTACCTTCCTCGGACACATCCGCCTGGAGCCGCACAAGCCCCAGCAGGTTCCCATCGACTCCACACTGTCTTTCGGAGCATCCACGCGGACGTACACCATCCGAGAGAAGCCCCAAAGCCAGGGAGCTGCCGGCAGCGGGGACATTAAAATCGGCGACGAGGACGAGCTCAAAGGGCTTCTCGGGCTGCCCGAGGAGGAGACGGAGCTGGAGGTCTGTTGGCTGGTTTAGCGCTGTGCCATTTGTCAAGGAGTGTTCAGGTTGGATTTCAGCGCCCTCCCCTTTTACCGCCAGAACCTGACCGAGTTCAACACGGCCCACAACAAGCGCATCTCCACGCTGACCATCGAGGAGGGCAACCTGGACATCCAGAGGCCCAAGAGGAAGAGGAGAAACTCCCGCGTCACTTTCAATGACGAGGACTCCATCATCAATCCGGGTACGCCCGGAAAATATTTTCCTCGATAAAATGATGATTATTTGGGGGAACAAAGCGAAAGCTAACTGAAAGGACATTTTGCGTTCACAAATGCCTCGCAGAGGACATCGACCCTTCGGTAGGACGCTTTAGGAACATGGTGCAGACGGCCGTCGTCCCCATCAAGGTAAGAATCTTGAAGGCCGATCGTGTTTTGATCTGGCCCACTTTGTGCAGTGGTTTCTTTCCGCTTTGACTCGAGTGTCATCAGAAACGGTATTTAAAAATTTTTTTTTTTTTTAAATGTGGCTTTCCAAAGGCTGTTTTCTGACCATGCTGTGATTGTGCACCCCCTGTGGCAGAAACGTCGCTCCGAGGGCCACAACACGTTGGGCCTAGACGACTTTGCATCCAAGCGAGTGCACGGTTACTCCCTGAGCGGCGGTCTCTATGGTGACCTGCCCCCCACCAGCCACGAGACGCAGCCCACGGGAGCCCCGGGCGGCGCCTCCATGCAGGGCGGCCTCCCCTTGCCCTTCCCCAACCCGGCCCCGGAGGTGGACCTGGCCCCCGAGGCTCCCCGACGCCCCGTCACCCTCGCCCCCGCCCCGGTCACGGTGCCCTACCTCGCAGAGACGCACAACGAGCCGCGCAAAAAGAAGTACGCCAAAGAAGCGTGGCCGGGCAAGAAACCCACGCCGTCGCTACTCATCTGAGACGCTCGCCCCCCCGACCCCCCACGTGCTGACTCTCGAGGTACCGGTGGGGCGATGCCACTCCCTCCTCACATCTTATTTTAGCGCCGGGGCGCCCAAGGAGCTGCGTACAAGCAAAATAACGAGACAACAGTTCGAGCCACCATTAGAAGTGTCACATTTGTTTCTTCTATGTTTTACACTTGTTTTACACTGTTTTCAATGTTTTTTGCAAATGCTATTAATAAATGGCAAAAGGATATTTTTATACCCCGTACTTTGGTGTGACAAGGCACAACTTTCAGGAGGGAAGTGAATGTGGTTTTTATGTAAATACACTGCTCACAAAAAGTTGGGGAAATTCGACCTTTGGATGAAATTTCAGTTTGAACCTTGAGAGGTCAATTTCAGTTGACCTTTTTTTTTTTCATGTAAATTCGGGCTGATTTTGAAAAATCAAATTGCGATTTCCTCAATATTGCGATTATGATTTAATACGTCATTATTTTGTCAAGAGCCGCTTCCCGTGTATTTTTCAACATTGTCGGATTTCTTATACTGTACATACGTAAATGCTTTGGTTTTGAAGGTTAGGCTTCGGCAAAAACAAGCACAAGCTGTGAATTAAGATGGAAGACGCTTTATCTACTTCAGTTAAGAGTTGGTGAACTTACTAAATGCTTTGACTTGCAGTCTTTTAAGTGTCCTTTTCAATAACTCCCACAAAATTCTACCAAACAAGTGTAGCGTAAACATAAGTCAGAGAATCATGAATCACATGGCAACAATACAGCAAACAAATCTGTCGCTTTATTCCTTCAACCTGACATGTTTCATGAAGCGATATGTAAACATGCAATTGCATTTCTTAAAGGCTGTACTTACCTCGACACTATATAAGTGAATTAAATATACACACAATTAAAAAAAAAAAAAAACAAAGCCTACCACACGCCGGGGTTTTTTTCCCCGATAAATTGCAACCTTTGTGTTTTGCAAATTGCCTTCTGCTACACTGTGATGTTGATTTGTCTTCAATGAATTGTTCAGCTTTATTTTCAGTGCCGATTTCCAACTGTGGAACGTTTTTGTGAAATTGCTACCCGAACCCCAAGGCGGACCTGGCCCCGAGTCTCTCCGGCGCCCCGTCAACCCCGCACCGAATGCAAAACCAAACGTTTTGTGAGTCGTGTATATGCTCATGACATTGTATTTTAACTCCGCCTCTGTGATGTGTTTGACTCGATGATGATTTAAAAAAAAAAAAAAAACTGCCGGATCACCACGAGCGACTTGAGCGCGCGTCAGTTTTCAGGCCGGAGATACAAAGCGTCCTCGGTTTATGATAGAGTTGGGTTCGCCGGCAACAGCTCAACCCGAATTTGCATAGATGTCGCCATAGTTCATCACAAACGTACACTAAGACTGTCGTCATTTCACAATGCAAAAGAGAAACGTTGACTTTAAAAAGCTTGCGCAATAGGGATTTTACCATGTGTTATCATTTATCGCCATGACGTTTCTGAAAAAAAAAAAATCACCTGTTGCTGAACCGAGTCTTTAAGACATAACTATTACTAAATCTGTTACTATATTATATTTTAGCTCGCATTTTTATTAAAATGGAAAAAGACAAAAAAAATGTCCGGCATATTTTATTGATGGAAAGCACTAAAATCTTACGCAGTCTATGTATTTCGGTCTCAGTCCGGAAGTGACGTATTATCTCTTTAATCCCATTACGTTAATGAGGCAGAAAACGTTGCCGTTCACTGACTTGGACTTTCGGTCATTTGTCCTTGTGGTCAAGTAAGTAAGGCGGAAGAAGGAAAACACACACACACACGGGACAAGTCTGACTTCACTTCTGAGGATGTTGACAGGCCGGAAATTGTGGACCATCGTGGCGCGTCACGTGACTCCGCGCACCTCTTACTGTACTGCAGCTAAACCTCAGGTACTGTACACGCATACAAACACAAGCGTGCATTTGTTATTCTTGTGACGACATTGCCTGTTGCCATTTGGCTGACTCCACGTGTTCCTTCATCTTTCATGTGGAATGCTACAACCACCTTCATCCACAAATAAATGAGTACTACTCAAAGTTTACATTATATGTTCTAAAAAAAAAGTTAAAAGAAGTCCCGATTTAACTCGTATCGTTTAAGTAAATTAAAAAAAAAAGTACAAATGACTTTTCAGTCTAAAATGCGTGCAGGATTGTAAAACTATTAATCAGCACGATACAAGGTCCTTTGAGGTACGACAGACTGACTGAATTCTTCATTAGTGGTTGCAGCAACGGGTATTTGAACACCAACTTAGCATCTACACATGTAGACACAGACAATAGAACAAACTATTAGTGCAGTTTATGGACTCACGTTCTCTTCGTTTGGTTTCATAACTGTCTTATACTGTCCCCTGGTGGCCAGGTTGCGCACATCTGGAGTCGCAATGAATTAATTATGATTCGCAAATTGTTTATTTCTTTCAATTCTTTTTAATTATGTTATTTAAATTAATTTCCAGACCTATTTTCCTATGAAAACACCTTACAAATATTTTTGTCAGTTTTAGGAGGCATTTTTGGGAGGGATAGTGAGGGGACCTGTCTGCATAGAGAGAAGGAGAGAGAGAGAGAATACATTTTATTTTAATATATTTTCCTCACTTTTTTCGTGTTTATCATTGTTTTTTCATTTTAATTTTCAATATTCCTTCCTGTTTGTGAGCAGCAGAAAGCAAAGAAGATCAAGTTTGGTCCTCTGAGCGATGAAGACCGAATCTTCACGAACTTGTACGGGCGACATGACTGGAGGTGAACGCGCTGAGCGCTTGCTGACGTTCACTGAGCTTCTTCTTCCTGTTCTTCATCTTTGTCTTGGTCTTTTCTTCTCGGTGCTTCAGGCTGAAAGGGGCCCTGAGGCGAGGGGACTGGTACAAGACCAAAGAGATTCTCCTCAAGGGACCCGACTGGATCATCGACGAGGTGAAGACGTCCGGGCTTAGGGGGCGAGGTGGGGCGGGCTTCCCCAGCGGCATGAAGTGGAGCTTCATGAACAAACCCAGTGATGGCAGGTAAGCGAGGTCTGTTCGAGTGCCTGGTTTTGGTCAGGAGACCAACAGAAATCATTGCACAACTCACTTGTAGGCCAAAGTACTTGGTGGTGAATGCCGATGAGGGTGAGCCGGGCACGTGTAAAGACCGTGAGATCATGCGTCACGACCCGCACAAGTTGCTGGAGGGTTGTCTGCTGGCCGGAAGAGCCATGAGCGCCCGCGCCGCGTACATCTACATCAGAGGAGAGTTCTACAACGAGTCGTCCAATGTGCAGGTGCGCAGCTGTCATTTTGTGCTGTTCAAACAACGGCCACCTTCTTTTTGTGGGCCAATAGACTGAATTTGACAAATGTTTTCTTTCCCGCATTGTGCTACAATAGTTTCCCCCGCGAGATGGTGGTTCGTCGATTTACATATTGGCCCGTTGCGTCACGTCACGTGATCGCATGAGCGCGCCACGACGTACGGCAAAAGTTGATGGCTGCCGAATCGAAGTGGGCGCCACACGGAGCGATTGAGCGATTGAAGTTAGTTTTTGCCCCTCCCTCCACATCGACTTCTGTGTTCACTGTTTTCATCAAATCGCCGACTTTGCCGGAATTCACAGCGCACGACCCTTTTCAAGTTGTTTTCAATGCCGTACCCCCTTACACTGGAGCTCATTCAAAAGCTTATTGAAGTCTGGACGCATAACGGTTATTGTCGCCGGCTCGGTCCGTGGGGGGGCGGACAAGATACCTTGTGCCGGTAATGGCGAAAGTAAAACTTGCTTATGACGCTGAAGTTCCTATGAAGACGTAACGCGTAAAAGGTTGAATGGCTATTTTTCAAAACGATTGTAATTCACTTGGCATGTGGGAAAGAAGAGCTACGCAGCCACGGATGCACCTCTCTTCAAAAAACATTAGAAAAAAAATATGTAAAATACACGCGTTCTAACGCAGGTGGCCATCAGGGAGGCCTACCAAGCGGGGCTGATCGGAAAGGACGCGTGCGGTTCGGGCTACGACTTCGACGTGTTTGTGATGCGGGGGGCAGGTGCTTACATATGCGGAGAAGAGACGGCCCTCATCGAGTCACTGGAAGGCAAACAAGGAAAGCCGAGACTCAAGCCACCTTTCCCTGCTGACATCGGTGAGCTCACCACACTCCACCGTCAGAATCCATATACTCAGCGTATTTGTGATGTAGAAATTTCCACCAAACTTCAGGAGGGCAGAACCGTTTAAGTCACCATAGAATTGTGTCATAAAGCTAAATGAACCATATTAACGACTAATTTGGGTGGATTTTGGATGGGGAGAAAGGTGCTCATTTCTCTCCATTCAAAACTGCTGGTCTTCGTGTGACGCTGAATGAGTTTTGGAGTCAAGTGATTGTTTCAGGGATGGCAATTGCAACCACCTGTGGATGGCCAATTGCAGCTCTGACCCGATTGGCTGGCGGCTCAGGCGTACTCCTTTAAAAAGGGATTGAGGACGTCATTGGGCCTGGACAGCATTCATGCAGGTGTTCTCTAAACCTTGTTAGCTGTGCCCTTCTGAAATAAACAAAACGGGAAAATCTCATTTCTGGTTCCTGGCTGAACTGATTTTTATTCTTTCTTTTTTTTTCCCACGACCTGCTTTTTTGCCACATAACAAATTGTTCATCAGTGCACCAGAATGCAAATGGTGGAATTCGATCTGTCTCTGTAAATCAGTTGACATAAAACATGACATGCCACAATTTTTAAAACGTCTCTTACAGAAATACAGTTAAATTGTTTTTTTAATCGTTTGAGTTATGTGAGTCACAACAGTTTTTTAACCAAAAACATTACAAATCCATGTGCCAGGAAGTAGCTTTGATGGAACTGTTCTACGTGACTGAGGAAGTAACCTGCAAACTATCGTGCCCATGGACCTTCCCCTTTTGAGCTGCATGCCTATGGCAAGGCTAAGCTAGTAGGGGCACGCTGGCATACACACGTTTTTCTTTGCTTTCTCGATATAGGGGTGTTTGGGTGCCCGACCACTGTTTCTAACGTGGAGACAGTCGCCGTGGCACCTGCCATCTGCCGCAGGGGCGGAAGTTGGTTCGCTAGCTTTGGAAGGGAGAGGAACTCTGGAACCAAGTTGTTCAACATTTCGGGTCACGTGAACACACCGTGCACCGTGGAGGAAGAGATGTCCATCCCCCTGAGGGAGCTGATCGAGAGGCATGCAGGTCAGTCAGTGTACTCGATGCTCCCCTGGTTCACATTCCTCCGATTCTTCTTTTCGCCTCAATAGAGCAGTTAAGATCTCAATCCAGGTTCACTCTGGTTCCCCCCCCCCCCCGTTGTATCATGGGTCCATCAGTATCAACATATGGTACTATTTTTAACCCAGTCAAAAACTACTTGAGAGTCTTTGATATACTGTATCTGAAAGAAGCATGAACTTGAGCTGAGTCAGACGGAAATGAGCCGTCTCCTAGGCTGATTGCAACAACACAAGAAGTGATTTAAGATGATGAAAGAGAGCAATGAATTAATGGAACAGAGTATCAGGCATAATGTCACAAAGATGATTCACATGAATTGTGAGCAACAGTGGCCCTAATATGGAGCCTTGAGGAACACCCTTTTGGGGCATCCGTAGAGGTTGGAAAAGGGAACAACAAACCTATTTTGACAAGGTGCCGAGTAAAGTACGGGGATGCATTTTCAAATGTAGGGAGTTGATGTCAACAGTTGTCGTAACAATAAACACAAAGTACAGTCAAATAATCTCCTGGAATGGGAAATTTCTGGTTTCACAACTCATTTCTGTGTGCTTTTGTGCTTTCAATGAATCTCAGTACTTGGGATGAATACGTTACTCTTCCCCTACTGTTACCTTGGTGTGTGTGTGTGTGTGTGTGTGTGTGTGTGTGTGTGTGTGTGTGTGTGTGTGTGTGCTGTGACAGGAGGAGTGAGGGGTGGTTGGGACAATCTATTAGGGGTGATCCCCGGTGGGTCCTCCACTCCCATCATCCCTCGGCACGTGTGCGATGACGTGTTGATGGATTTCGACGACCTGGTGCGTGCGGAAAGCGCCCTGGGCACAGCCGCTGTCATTGTCATGGATAAGTCTGTAGGTAAACGGTCGAGAAGAAAACTGGACTGTGAGAAATGATTTTTTGGGGATCTGGCGTCACGCGTTTGATTTGTCCTTGCAGACCGACGTCATTCGAGCCATCGCGCGTTTGATTGAGTTCTACAAACATGAGAGCTGCGGCCAGTGCACACCGTGCAGAGAGGGTGAGCATCTCAAAAAAATAAATAAAATAAAAACAACCGTGTCTATTATGAAAACATTGCTCCAGCGCCGTGTGGTGGCTACGGATCGATTTTAAGGGAGCTTCATTTAGTCAGGCCTTGTCTTCCCGGGTTTTCCGCAACCCTTGCGGCAATCATTGTATCATTGCGGTGTGCAAC